GGTTGGCGGGGGGGGGGGGGGGGGGGATGCTGGCCCCAGTGGTCCCACGGGGCTGTTTCCTGCTGGAGGCTGTCAAAACAGTCCCTGTCGTCAGTTAAACAGCCAGCAGGTTTGGGATGTGGTGGATTGTGAGGGCAGCTGCAGCTGGGCTCTGCTGCAGGAGATCAGCACGTCACGGCGTGACTCCCTGCCCTGGATGGATGCTGATGGGTTTCTGCTTTGGCTTGGTGGAAGGCGACCGACCTCCTGCCACCCCTTCCCCTCTGGGTGGACCAGAAGCTGACATGTCCCCATGTCCCCGCTGGCTCTGCACTGCTGTGAGGCAGCCTCATCCCGCTTGGCATCTGCCCCTCTGCCCTGCTCCATGTGGACACAACACGGTCGTCGTCTGCATTTCCAAGTGAGGGTTCGGGGCTGAGCCCGAGGTCCCAGCGATCCCAGCGAAATCCCTTCCCCTCCTCTGCAGCTCCCTGGGGCCAGGACATGGTGGGGGAGGTTTCTTGCAACAGCTTGCTGTAGCCGAGCTTGGCCCCAAGCTCCCCTGTCCCATGGTCTCCCCACCCCACGGGGCTGTGAACACCTCCCTGCCCATCCACCCATGCCCGGCTGTTGTTCTTGGTGGGTGCCTGGGGGGATGGCTCTGCAGCCCCCCTCCAAGCTCTGGGTTTGTTCTCCCAGTGTCGCCAGCCCCATGTCAGGGCCAGCACTGAGGTCAAAGCTCTGGAGATTGGCACTGGGGCAGCCCAAGGGGCCTTCCTGCACAGGGCTGAAAGATTTAATAAAGATCCTGCCCCCCCTGCCCCTGGGCTTTGCTGCAGCCAGGGCCCCGCAGGCTCTCAGCCCCCTCCCCAGAAAGCAGTGCAGCCTGACCTTTAGCACCAGGCACAAAACTGCCTCCGACTTCTTCCCCGGGCTCTTTCTTCCTCCTTGGCCACAGCCTGGGGCATTTCTGAGTGCTGGAGCCCAAGGACCCAGGTATGGGTGCTCTGGGGAGAGGGATGGAGGTGCTGGGGGCGGGAGGCTCAGTGGGGCAGGGTGGGATGTGCCGGGTCTGTGTGGCA